CACAAATAGAATATTTCACACAGTTTTAACCAAATAGATATTGAACACAATTAGAAAAATTTTAACCATAAAATAAAGTTTTCTACATAATTTGATTTTTTGAAACATGAATAATATTTAGATACTAATCTATAACTTAAATTTATTAGAGAAAAAAAATATTTGATCAAAATTTCAGTAAGAATCGAAACCATATTAAATCGTATTACTATTATATGTTTTAATCTAGATACTATTATTCAAAAAAAAATTTTAAAAACGAAAAAAAATCCTAATGACCAAACATAAACAAAAAAAAATTGAACATCGTTAGAATTGTTAATATGGTTAATATCATCAATTGAATTAAAATAATAGACTAAATAACAGATAAATCTATTATATAATAGGAGAGTTTTCTCTCCATCTAGAATGTTCACATATGCATAATTTAAATTTTATTGTGGATCCTACATTTAATAACCAAAATTTAAAAAACCAGTTAATCACCTACGTAATTAGTCATTGCAAACAATATGTATCTAATAAATTATGTTTCTCTCCTATTATTAGAAGTTAGAACATTCACGTCCTTATAATTAGTATGTATATTAGTCTCTTCACCTATAATTAATTATCTAACACCATATAAAACATAATGTAGTAATTAGCATTTAGATTAGACTAAATTCTGGTTTTGCCCTCTTATAATTAATACAGATTTTTACAATTTAAAAAATAAAAATAAAAACTTTTTTTTTATCCAAAACTTTCCTTTACAGAATTCTCATGGCATAGCTAATTATATTGTCCGTTAACAGGAGATAGTTATGTGTTACATAGTTAACTATATTTACACAGTAATCATGACATAGCTAACTATACTGTCTATTAACAATGGATAGTTAGTTATACGTATTACATAGTTAACTATATTTACACAACACTCATRACATAGCTAACTATACTATCCATTAACAAGAGATAGTTATGTCATGAAGATGACACAAGAATATTATTACACGGGTTGGAGTAGGCATTGTAATGTGATTGGTGTGTGTTAATAGGTTATGTGATTAATATCTATGAACTTTATCACATTTACCCCCTAATCATTTGGTATGAAACCCTAAATTCTTAGGCGGTGACACGCATATTTAAAAGGAAAGAGGTGCAAAATGTTCCAAAATCGAAGTCTCCCTCCACAATCCGTACAAAATTGGAACTATATAATATAAGCTTTTTATATAAATGTGGTTTGATTGATGCGGAAAAGTTTTCCCCCTTTCGATTCATCTTCTTATGGTTTCTCTTGATTTCTAGGTTTGGGTATTTCTAATCGGAAACCCTGGTTCCTCTAATCAAACACCATGTCTCACCACATAGACGGCGATGACTCCTGTGACGATGATTACGTTGATTCGGAGGAAGAAGAAGAAGAGGAGAATCGTCGATTCGGCGGCGCAGGGAAGAAGAGGGGAAGATCGAATTCAGATTCCGGCTCTCGGGGAGGTAAGAAAAGGAATTCCTCGGGTTCCATGTTCATAGACGATGTGTGGCCGAGATCGATGAAGACGACGAAAGTGAAGAGGAAGAGGACGGTAAGCGATTTTCTTCGATTTCTTCCTTCGTTCTGTAAAATTCCAACCATAAGAAATTTCAGAAATCTACGAATTAGAAATTTTGGCTTATGATTCTGTAACTGAGATTTTTTGTTATTTTGAGTTGCAGATTTCTTAGAAAATGGTGAAACTGATCTTCCTGCTGAGGAAGAGACTGGTCATAGACGACAACAGAGGTTTCGTGATGATGAATATGATGTAGAAAAGTTTGATGACAAATATTTTCAAGAAAGGTATTCTAGCTATATCCAGAAT